TAATATTTTTAGCCAAGGTGGAGTATTGGGCTGAATAATGGGGGTGGTGAGATTTAGGTCAATATTTTCTAAGAGTGGCAATAGAAATTGTAGTGATGAATTGGCAGTAGCTCTACTGTGTGCTCCTGTTAATTGAAAATTTTTAATAAGTTGGAAAGATATATTATTAGGGTTTGCAGAAACCTTAGCAAAATAGGAGTTTAGTAGACGTTGTCTTCTAATATTTAGAGGGGGTTTACACGATTCGACATATATGCTTTCTGTCGGGCTAGATCTGAAGGCTCCAAGACATATTCTTAATGAAGTGTTTTGAATTGTATCTAGTGATTTTAAATAAGTTTTAGGGGCAGACATATATAATATAGATCCGTAGTCTAACTTAGATCTTATTAGGGCTCTGTATAAACTTAATAGGACTTCTTCTTCGGCTCCCCATTGTCGATTGGCTAGTGATTTTAAGAGATTTATATTTTTTTAAGGCACTGGCTTTAGTTTGTTCTATATGTCTCTTCCATGTTAACTTTTTGTCGAAAATTACCCCTAAAAATTTGTGATTTTCAACTACTTGTAGTGGATGCTCTTTTAATTTTATGAGTGGAAGAGTTTGTTTATATTTTTTGCTCTAAAGTTGATCACTTTAGACTTAGTAGGCGAGAAGCTGAAACCAATTTTGTTCGACCAGTGAGAGATGCTATCAATAGTATTGTGCAAGAGAGTGCTAGTGGAGCTTATTACTTTACCCGAACAGTAAATAACTAGATCATCCGCATAGATATTATGTTTGACAGGGGGTTGTACTAAGGAACTAAGGTCGTTAAGAAGCAGTAAAAATAAGGTTGTGCTGAGGACTGATCCTTGAGGTACTCCTGTCTCCAGGATATATGAGTGAGACATTTTACCATTTGCAGAGACTTTGAAACTTCTGTTAGTTAAAAAATTTTCAACAAATATATATATATATATATATATATATATATATATATATATATATATATGTTTCCAAATAAATTAGACTCTTTAAGTTTTTCTAGAATTGCCGGCCTTGATGCTGTGTCGAAAGCACTTTCTATATCGAGTGAGACAGTTATAAGGTTGTTTCTATTAGAGAATGCTTCTATGATATCGGATTGAAGAGTGATAAGATTATCCATCGTGCAACGATTTGGGCGAAATCCTGATTGAGCGGTATTGATAATATTATGTTTTTCAAGATACCAGAGTAAGCGTTTGTTAACAATTTTTTCCATGAGTTTGCAAAGTGTGCAAGTTAATGAGATGGGTCTAAATGACATAGTTGTATTGTCAGAAGTGTCATTTTTCTTGAGTGGAATTGTTATAGCTTGTCGCCAAAGTGATGGAAATTGGTTACCTAGCCATATGTTGTTGTAGAATTCTAGTAACTTTAATAGTGTATCTTCATGTAGATGTTTTAGAAATATCGATGGAATGTCATCCGGCCCTGCAGCACTGTTCTTTAGGGAATTAACAGCTTCGACTAATTCATCGATTGTTAGTGGGAGATTGACAGGATGATCATTGGAATTTGGATTCTCATGTACAACACATTTATTTGTTATGTTTGTTGGTCCAGTACAGTTGTTATCATGTTTAGTTTTATTCAAATAGTATTTGGCAAGTGTGTTTACAATCTGCTGGTCATCAGTTATGACATTGTTATCTTCTATTAGGGCTGGAATTTTGTATGTTGTGTATCTACCTTTCATCTGTTTTATTTTAGTCCATATTTGACTAGAAGGTGTATCGGAAGTTATGCTACTGATGTATTTGTTCCATGAGTTCTTTTTGCTTTCTTTCACAATTCGCTTAGATTTAGCTCTTAGTTTTCTAAAATTTATTAGATCCGCTTGGTTTCTAGTTTTACGATATCGGTTTAATGCTTTTTTACAATCTTTTACAGCTAGTTTACACGATTCATTCCACCATGGAACATATTTTTTGGAGGGATCAAAGTGGTATTTACCGATGCATTTTTCGGCATAACTTATAATACAATTAATCAACATGTTAAGATCTTCATTAGCGGAATTCATAAAGGAGATTTTATCTGTTTGTTCCTTGACAAGTAAATTAAATAGATCCCAGTCAGCGTGAGCAATTTTCCACTTAGTTTTGCTTTGTCTTTGTGAGTTATCATTGTTAGAAATTAAAATGGGAAAATGGTTACTTCCATAGAGACTTTCCAGCGTTTTCCATGTAAGATGAGTAGATAATTCTGGATTACATATGCTTAAATCAATGGAAGAGAGAGTACCTGTTTGGATATAAAAGTATGTGCTGCTTCCAGTGTTTAGAAAATTAAGGTTGGAATTGATTATGATATTTTCAATCATTTTGCCTCTACCGAAAGTATTACTGGAGCCCCACATAGTGCTATGTGCATTAAAATCTCCAACTAAGATAAATGGTTCAGGAAGTTGGTTAATAAGGTTTGTAATTTCGATAGCTGTTGGGGTGTAATAGGGAGGAATATATATGTTGCAAATTACGATTTTATTTGGACACCAAACAGTAACGGCAACGGCTTCTAGAGTTGTTGTTAAGAGAAATTCTTGGTGGAATATATCTGTAGAAATAAATATAGAGCTCCCACCACTAGCTCGTGCGTGTGATGTTCGTATACAGTGGTAGCCAACGTAATTTTTAAGGTATGGATTATGGTTTTTAGAGAAATTGGTTTCTTGCAAACAAATGAAATCGGGTGAAGTATCAGCAACAAGCAGTTGGAGATTTTCTAGATGGGGGTAATACCCATCACAATTCCACTGGATTAAATTGAATAGGAAGAATATTAGAAGGGGGGATTTTTCAGTGCTGCGACATTTGGGATCGATCGGAAAGGCACTCATCGTCAGTTAGTTCGCTTGATGAAATTGAGTCTGTTAAACTTGTGGCTTCAGAGGATTCTAGTTGTAGTTGTTTTTTAATCTTTTTACTTAACCGGGTAAATCGGTTTTTTAGGGATCTGAAAGATGTGGATATATAGTATGCAGGTTCAAAAGTAGACTTTTTACATCATCCGTGAGCTTTTTCGCTTCCGAATAAGGATCAGAATGTCCAAAACTATTTTCAAAGAAGAAAAAGAAATTGTCTATGGGTATTTTAAAGGTTTGTGGATTCTGTTTGTATGCTTCTTGGATTGTTTTCTTGGTGGTTTCGGTTAATACTAATTCTGTTGGAGTGTCAGGTTTGTGCTTTTTTTTTCTTAGCTTTGGGACCTTTTTTGGGGAAGCTGATAGAGGGGGAGGCATATCTAACAATGGTTGAGCTTCTTTCTCAGGAATTTCAGGGCTTGTTAGTTCACTAGGAGTTTCTATTTCAGAGTGTCCTCGTTTTTGAGATAATTGTGTTATGGTAATTTGGTCTGATTGTGTGGTTTCAGTGTTGGAGTCTTTATTTTCGATTTGTGGGTCTTGGGCATTATGTGTAGAGGAAGATGAAATTTTTACGGATGAGTTGGGACTTGTTGGTATATATTCGGTTGGGATTGTATTGTCTGTTGGAGGATTTGGACAGTTGGAGGCTATATGTCCTGTTTGTTTACAGATAAAACAATGTACTTTATCTGTAGAAAGGAAGATTCTGTGTTCATTCCCTTCGAAGGAAATAAGTACTGAAGTTTGTAATTCAAAATCTTCGGAAGGAGGAAATACGTAAACTTGGCGTCTGAAACTTAATACATGTGAATATTCGTCCCCAGGAATGCCTGCTCTTAAATAGGATATAGGAGATGCGATGCGAAATCCAAGATTTTTAATGCTATTTTCAACTATGTCATGTGGTAAGAACGGAGAAACATTAGATATAATTATTCTTTTAGCAGGGGAAATAAGTCTTCGGATTTTTAAAGAAACCTCTCCTATCTGTATTATGGGATATGAATCTATGAGCTGGTCAACAAGATTAGTGTTAGAAAGATAGATACAAATGCGATTGTTTGATATCCTAGATGCAAAGGAGACTTGTTTAGGGCCTATTATATCACCTATAGCTTTAACGTAATCGTACAGTTTCAGATTTTCTTCGGCATGTATAACAATGGCTTGATGTTTGCTAGGAAAAGTTGACCGTGGAATCGTTTTCGCTACTGATACATAGGATAAAACTTGGTTTTGTGTTTGAGACATATTTACTGTTTGGATATTTGGTACGCCACTGCTCATGTAGTCAAAAGCAATTGCGTTTTTAGTTGAAATTATAATTTAGCTTCTATGTATTATGATAAAGTTTCAGCTTTTTATTCATTTTAAAATAATAATAGATTGCCGGTTGTAAGGCAATCCTGTTTAAATTTTTTCTTTTTCTGTTTTTAATCAGTTGAAACAAAAAACAAACCTCAACTAGTAATGAGTGATTTATACATACATTTATTTATAGTTGAAGGTACACTTATGTTCACTGTTTTTGCACTATGTTTTACTAAGCACGACAAAATATAAAACGATGTTACTCGTTCGACACCTCGTAGTGGAATCCAATGCGAAGTTTTAAATTCCATAAAAATCAGGAAATTGGAATACTTGGGGCACATCATGAGAGGTGAAAAGTATGAACTACTTAGGAATATAATGCAGGGTAAAATCAAAGGTAGAAGAAGCGTAGGAAGACGTAAAATCTCGTGGCTACGCAATCTCCGTGAATGGTTTGGATGCAGTTCAATTGAACTATTCAGGCGAGTAACCAATAAAGTTATAATTGCCAGAATGATTTCCAATCTCCGATAGGATTGGAACTTGAAGAAGAAGAAGAAGTCTTATTTTATTTCTCTTTACATCTATTTGAAATGGACTCACACAGGCAACACATTTATGATTAAAATACAAATTAATTTAAAAATTTAAGATAATAAATTTGAGATTATTATATTTATGGCATTACAGAAGTACGATGTTTTTGGAATAATATTATTAAGATTTTTAATCTGTCTAAAAATATTTTATTATCATAAAACGTCTTTTATTAGAGGTATACAAAGTACTTACTTCACATGTATCTACTCCTATTTCTCCTCCAGCACAGATCATCGTATCACCATCAACGCCCTCTGGTAGAAACTTCTTTTTAACGTCGTTATATAATAGGTTGCATGTCTCTGTATCCATTTCATTTAATCGAACGTTAAGCAAAAAGTTGCTTTGCTCTTCAGCAAATCCTACTTTACCCCAACCACAAGCAGTCATATTATCATATGGATCTAAAATAAAACATACTCTAAACATAAAATTAATCTAATTTTAGCCTCTTACGAATTCTCTGAAGTAATTCCATACTTAATCATAGAACAATTCGAATAATAAGAACAAACGAGGTAACAAAATGTTTTTCTAAGAGTAACAAATAAGTAAATTATTTTTGTTTTTCTTCTTCTTGTTTGTTTGTTTTTTATTGTGCCTCCAGTTAGTTGTCGTTCCATCACTTTCGTGGTCTTCCTACTGATCGTCTTCTTATTGGGAACCGTCTCTTGCCATCTTGACTACTCTACTTGTGGTCACTTGACTTATACATAGTGTGACCAACTCCAATTCAATTGAATTTGATACAAGGGTAAAAAATAACTGAAATCCGGAAGTTTTCAGTGAAAATCGGGCCATTTTTTATTTTTTTAAACAAGGATTGTTATAAAATCATTTTATTGATTATTTAACATTTTTATGTTGACAATGATATCTTTGATGTGAGTAAGCCATAATTGCTTATAATAATCAAATTTTTGTTAGTTTTTGACGTTTCGACTTTCAAACCGTAAATCATTCTGCAAAAAGGAAAAATTAGAAAATCAACTGATGTTGGATCTCTCTGTTAATGTAACCTTAATATTTATATTTTAATATTGTTACGATTTTAAATGTTATGGCATATAGAACTGTAAATATTTTATGACTAATTCTTTTTTTATTGATTCTCGTAATTTGTAGGTCAAAATCTACCTGAGCTTCGATACCAGTTGTTTACAGAATAATCTAGACCCTAATTTTATGAGTAATCCACGTCTCGAGGTTGAAAAACGAGTCGAGCGCCTTCACCAAAGTACGAGATTATTCCATTATAATGTAGAAGGCCGCCGAAATTTCGAGATAACAACAGTTGTGTATATAAATGAAAGATTTCTTATTTGGCGGTTAGTCATAAGAAGATCGGGAAACGCGGTTTACTTGTAACGAAGCGAAAATAAATTATTTGTAATTAGGATTAATAAAGACTTTAATAAATTCGTAATTAGTTATCGTGAGTTTTAATAAATTAGAATATAGACAATAAATTAGAATAAAGACAAATAAATTAGAACAATAAAAAGACGTAACAATATATTTAATGCTGGACTGAAATTTCCAGGTGAAATATCTGAAGTTAATGTTTGGGTATATTTATTTTGTTGGCAACAATGAACAGTGAAACGATAAAAATGTGAATAAATTTTCACCATTATTAATTCCACGTCAAATGGTAATATATTGCAGCTACATTGCAAAATGTTGTGAATCATGTGAGCCGCACGACCGATTTCTATCAAATTTGGTTCACCTGGGATTTAATTTGTAGTAAATATTTTTTGCCCACCTTGGCTTTTACCACCAAAATTAGTATTAGTATTATCACCGCAGAATGAAACTAACTTTCTTGAGATGTTGTACTTTTCAAGAGTGTTCCTCAAGAGCTGCACAATAATATCAGATGTTCCCCATCTTCAGCCGTAAAATTCAATTTTTTCGTCTTCATGCCTTCTAATGGAACGAAATATCTCGTCACAACCGGGAACATATTTACGATTCCATAGTTAGATGCATCGGTAATGATACTGACGTATATTGCGTTGATTATTGCATCAACCAATTGATTTTCGATGTACGGACCAAAGGCATTTTTAAAAATTGCCTCACATTTTGTACGAGCTGACTGAAATTTGGTCAATCCAAAGCAATTCCAAAATATTTTCGATGATCAATCAGCTGAGCATTTTCCTTAATCATATGATACGCCCAAACACCTTCCCGAGCTGCAGTCTACTAAAACAATATTGCTCGATGTTGCTGTTGCCTTAAAAAATTCAGTCAATTTTTTGCTGCTTGCCGCGGAGCTAATACCTCTTTGGTGTTTTTCACTTTTGATATGACTCACTACATCCACCCTACCTCCGTGGGCGACCGAAAATTCGGATTCACAAGTATCACATTTTACGTCACTGTTACTTTTTTTTTAATGGAAATTCTTCTTGCAATGTTTTATTAAAAGTGGAATAGCGTTTTCTCTTTTTACTTTCTTGTTCTGGTTCCATATTAACAATAGAATGGTATGAAAAGTCAACTAAACAATGCTTCAGACCTTCGTAGATGTTTACTAATCTATTTAAGGCTTCAAACTGATTAGTGACATAAAATAAATGTTTACATAAAATCATATTGCAACGCAGCAGATTTGATCTTGGCTTAAAGCACGTAACGGTTTGGAAATGAATTATTTATTCTGCAAGAATATAGCGCGAATGAAATCAAGAAGTTTGTTTACCTATTGAGAATGGTTGACAAAACCGAAAAAAAAAAACATTTATCAACAATCATTACATCTTTGAATGCGGCACACTTCGGTTTACATGATTTATGTGTATACAATACATGAATTGTTATCGTTTTTGAATAATCTTTTCGAAAGAGGATAATTAAAATACAGAAACGAAAAAAAGTGCACAGTGCGAGTTTACAACATAATACCACTATAAAATACATATATTTTGGATGAGGTATTAGTATTACACTCTAGAAATTTTCGACTTTTTTTCGTCCCAACAATTCAATTTGATGTGAATTCTTAGAAGAATAATGTATTTAAAATTTCAAAATATATTTTCAAAATGTTACAAATTCGAATGGGCCGGAAGTCTTGTCCAGGACTCCGGGACACGGCTTCGTAATTCGAGGGGTCCCGGATTTTTCGGGCTAGTTGGTCACATTACTTGTACAGGGTGTCCCATAATTAATTGGACATTAGCTAATGGGTGATAGCCAACATCAAAATAAAGCGTTTGAGCTCAAATTGGTTAGGCAAAATGTTGCTAGTTTTCATTCTACGGGGTGATTCAATAATATTTTTTTATATTGTTTGCAGATACATTGAAAACTATTCAACCGATTTAAGTAAAATTTGGTATCTTGCTTTTATTTAGTATGCTTAATATGAAAATAATATTAGTTTTACCATTGGCATTAGGTGGCGCCACCGACAATAACATTGGTGTATTAATGTTTGCCATAATTTTTTTGTCCGCCCTGTATAAACATTTTAGGAAAAAAACATGAAATAAAATTCAAGTCTACACAAAAAGGTATTTCTGTTTCAAATCAAAAAAGTACACTGTTTTCGAAATAAACGTATTTTTGTAGAGACGTGCATAAAATGAAAACATTATACAAACATTATTCAAAAGGTCTTAAATAACAGTCAATATTAAATGTATTCTTCTTCTTCTTCTTGATGTGCCTATCCGTTACGAATGTTGGCGATCATCATGACAATCTTTATCTTATCTGCAGCAGCGCGGAAAAGCTGCACATATGTTGTATTGAACCAGATTCTGAGGTTCTTTAACCAAGATGTTCTTCTTCTTCCTGGACCTCGTTTTCCAAATATTTTTCCTTGCAGGGTGGCTTGAAGGAGAGCATATCTGTATTCATTTCGCATAATATGTCCGAAGAATTGTAACTTTCGAGATTTAATGGTGGTCAGTACCTCTCGGTTCTTATTTATTCTACTAAGGACCTCCTTATTTGTGACTCGGTCAGTCCACGGGATCTTAAGTATTCTCTGATATAGCCACATCTTAAATGCTTCCAGTTTTTTGCACATATCTTTGTTCAAGGTCCACCATTCAACACCATATAAAAGGATAGAGAAGACGTAGCATCGCAGCATTCTTACTTTTGTATCAAGACAGAGGTTGTGACTCTTAAAGAAGGCCCCCATCCGATTGAAGGTGGATCTAGCTTTTGCGATGCGTGCTCTAGTCTCCTGGTTGTTGGTCCATTCTTGATTTATTAAGGTGCCGAGGTAGTTGTAGTGCGTCACTCTTTCTATTACTTGTAGGTCTTCTAAGTTGTCATCTGGATATCTGATAAGCCGTTGTTAAGCCAGTAACCATTTAGTAGAATACCTTTTCCAGTTTCGTGCAAAGCTTCGATAAATATTCTTTCTGAATACAGATTGAAGATTAGAGGAGACAAAATACAGCCTTGCCTTACTCCACGCATGATTTTCACTTAGTCAGTGTGTTCACCTTCAACTCTGAGATTTGCTGTGTGATTCCAGTAAATATTTAATTGTTTTTAATTTAATTCCTAATTATTTTTAGATCTTGGTTGTTAATTCCTGCTTCTTTTAGTATTTGCATCATCTTGGCGTGCTGTACTCGATCAAACGCTTTCTCGTAATCAATCAGACATGTGTATACGTTACAGTTGACGTCTCTACATCTCTGGAATAAGACTTGTACTGAAAACTCTCTAGTACCAACAGCATTTGTGAACACGAACTTGTTGGGAGAAATTTAAGTTTCACAGAGCTTGTAGATTCTCTTATGAATTATCTTTAGGAACAATTTTAGGAGATGACTGAGTGCAATAAACTCAGATTTCAGCCATTCTGTTGGTATTTCTCCAGAGTTGTATATGTTGTTGAATATCTTTGCGATTGTTATTTATTCGTTGTCCATTAGTTTGAGTAGTTCTGCTTGTATATTTTCAGGACCTGCCGCTTTGTCCTTTTTCCTTTAACTGTGTTATTGCGGAATAAACTTCATGCTGTAATATTCTTGGTCGATCATTTACCTCTTCTTCTAGCTCAAAGGTTTCATCTTTCTTTGATCTTTAAATAGTTTTTCTAGATATTCTTTCCACGTTCTTATTTTATTCTGTTTGTCCAAGAAGATTTTTCCGTCAGAATCAGTTATATTTCCTTTCTGCTTTCATCTTAGTCCTCCTGTGAGTTCTTTAAGTTTCCTATGTACATTGTGACTATCGTACTTTGACTGCAGAGTCTCAATTTCTTCGCATCTTTCTCTTGCTTCTTTTTCTTTCGCTTCTTTGATTTTCATTCCTTATTAATATATTTATGGTTTTATATTTGTCTGCATCATTTTTGGCCTCTCTTCTCTCGTCCATTAGTTTCAGGATCTCATCTGTCATCCATGATTTTTTCTTCATTATT